CTGAGATTAAGAATTCCTCATATCAGTGAGATCATATGATACATGTCTTTTTCTGATTGACTTATTTCGCTTAGCATAATACCCTCCAGTTCCATCCATGTCATTGCAAATGGCAAGATTTTGTTTTTTTGATGGCTGCATAATATTCCATTGTATATACATACCACATATTCTTTATCCATTCATCTGTTGATGGACATCTTAGCTCTTTCCATAGTTTGGCTATTGTGGACATTGCTGCTATGAACATTGGGGTGCACGTACCCTTTCGGATCACTACATTTGTATCTTTGGGGTAAATACCCTCTCTGATGTACTTTTGTACAGTATCACAACCCTAACCTCAAAGATTATACCTGCTCAACGAGAGTTCTCCATTGGATTTTCCTTGCACTGGGTCCTCCTTATACATTCGTGTTCCATAGAAATACCAATAGAGTGCCCCAGAATTGTCTTCACCCAATGGTTCCACGCGGAGACTGTCTGCATCCAAACCCTTGGTAGAAGAAAAGGGAAAAGAGGTTTGGGGAAATAGGAAATAAAACAAAACAGGAGAAAACTAAAATGAGGATTCAAAACTTACACTCAGATGTACCTCATATTTTAAAATGCCTAAGCATCTTACGTAGCGTTCAATCAGGGTATATGAAACACAGAGAGAATGGGAAGATGGTACCTTCTTTGAAGAGCAGGATATGGAAATATTTCAAATACTTCCCATCCCCATAATTGCCCACATTTCACCAACAAAACAAAAATCAAAAAGGAATTTTGATGAACATATTACATATTTGGTTTGGACTTAGGTGTGCATCCACAAAAGGAAAGACAATTACAACAGAGTAGAATCCAATGTTGTAAAAGCTATGTCCCACGTGAGCCTCTATTGTAGCTCCATCATAATCTATAGTAACCTCTTATTCTAGCTGAGATCCAGCAATACAGTTCCCAATTTACCCCAGGGTCTGACCTATTTTGCCCTTCCCACTGCTATTCAAGAACTTGAGTTCTCAGCAAAGACTGTGCTTAAATTGCACAATGATTTTATACCATGTCCATGAGAGGGCTGAACTGAGAAGTCATCAACACATTTAATCATTTTTGACTGAACAGGATTAGATACTGACCTTCCTATGAGTGAAAAGCAATAGCCCACACCCTCCCTCTGAGATAGATTTCTGAAACAGACAACAGTAGAATAACGGGGAAGATATCTACAACCTCCTTCTCCAACACATTTTTTGAAATGTATGTGTATGTATGTATATAGTAGGGATGAACCTCACTCACATATTGGTTAAGTCCTTGTAGTTCTCAATAAATATTTCTATTATGCTAAATCAAATTTTAGACCTTGGGGAATAAAATCCAGTGGCTAATTTAGTTGCAATTTTGGCTGATGACAGGGAGAATAAATAGGTGCCTCTGACTGTTCCTTTGTCAGCTGCAACTCAGCCATGTAAAGGAAGACAAAACCAAACTAGAAAGTAAACCAAAATAACCACACAGTCCTCTATCTAAATGTATGGCTTGGATTCCTTTGGCTACAGTGGTCATTGTATACATTTTTATTGTCAATTAACTCTGGCTTTTCTTAATATCTTCAGATTTTATATCCTGATTACTGGCTTTTTTGTTGCTCTAGGAAAAGGGCTTGCTAGTTAAGCACCTTGAGAAGATCGAAAACATCGTCTGCATCTAGCCGATAATCACAAAGGCGGTGCAGGATTTCCACACGAGTGCGAAGGGGCAGGTCTTGGAAACTGGCTTCTCTCAGAGGGTTGGGCTTCCCTTCTTCAAGCTCCCAGCGGTAGTTGATGATGTCCTCTAGGTAGCTGTGGAATGTCTGAGGCCTAACCAAATGGCCCCAAACACAAAATACATTAATATAAAATACAGAGGATGAGTGGGAAAAGTGTAGAAAACAGATGGTTTGACAGCTGACAAATCTTAAACAGAAAGCAGGAAATAAAAAAGCAGTAATAGAAAGGGTCTGAAAAACCCTATTGAAGCTTCATGTTATTATATTATCTAATTGGATGGAATGTTGTCAAATTCCAAAGAAGATAAATATGTTAAGAGGGTTTCTCACAGGATAGATTGTTTTACTTTAAACCACAAACGGCATATTCTGGTGAACAGATAAACGTTTTAATAACCAATGGTACAGATTGTGAAACTGAGGCAAGTCTTACCTTTGCTCATACAATTAAAGAGACTATACAGTTTGAATGGATAGCAGTTCAAAGATAGGTCCACAACTGAGATGGGAAACGAAAAAAGAAACTCAATGTTTGCCTAGCCTAATTAATTATATTTCAGGTTAAGAATTAAAGGTTGAAAAATGTTGTCTAGATTACAAGGAACTACTCCAATATGCAACTATAATTTTATATACTGTTATATAAACTTTAAGGCCTGTTAAAAAATACTGTAAATTTTGAAGTTTTTTTTTTTTTAAGATTTGATTTATTTGACAGAGACACAGAGAGAGAGGGAACACAAGCAGGGGGAGTGGGAAAGGGAGAAGCAGGCCTCACGTGGAGCAGGGAGCTCGATGCGGGGCTCGATTCTAGGACCCTGGGATCATGACCTGAGCCAAAGGCAGACGCCCAATGACTGAGCCACCCAGGCACCCCATGAAGATTAATTTTTTCTATGTTACTTAAATTTTTCCTGATTAGTTTGGCAATTCTATAACTTCATTTGATTAGTACCCAAATGTGCCTTGTATATAATATAATAAAGAGCTGTTTAGTTGTTAGATGGTTATTCTTTCTCTCAACTATTTTTTTAATGAAGATTTTATTTATTCATTTGAAATAGTGAGCAAGTGAGAGAGAGAGCATGAGCAGGGGGAGGAGCAGAAGGAGAAGGAGAAGCAGACTCCCAACTGAGCAGGAAGCCCAATGCTGGGTTCAATCCCAGGACTCCAGAAACATGACCCGAGCCAAAGGCAGACACTTAACTGACTAAGTCACACAGGCGCCCCCCCTCTCTCAATTATTAACAAATCTGGGTACAATTTCACCTATTGCGTGATTTAAAATTTTTTTTTTTCTCACTAAGCAAGGAGCTCTAAAGAAGCTATATGTCAATGTAATTTTAAAGAGAGGCATGTACCATGTTGAATGACAATCTGTGGTAGTTATATTTGTAGAAAAAGTCAGAGGAAATATTTATGGAAAACATCAAAGGGGCTTATGCAAATAAGAAGTTAAATATTTTGATTTTCAAAGAGAGAAGAAACTACTTCCTTACTATTGATACATCAACTGGGGAAAATGTGAACATGTTAGCTTATCAAAATGCAGCATAATACCTCTGAATATTAAGGCTCTCACAAATTTGATTTGACTGCAGCATTCACATTCAAAGCATGAGCCCTGGCATATGAATACCTGCCTTGAACCTTAGTGGGTTTGGACTGGCTTCCTCTCTCCATTGCCTGTGAAGCTGGTGCTGCCCCTTCAGGAGGGAGGAGCTGGGCAAAGAAATTGGCGGTAAAAAGCAGATAGTGTGGCAATGGTGAATCTGAAAATAAAATGGGGTGTACTTTTTAAAAAAGATTTTATTTATTTATTTGACAGAGAAAGGCACAGCAAGAGAGGGAACATAAGCAGAGTGAGTGGGAGAGGGAGAAGCAGGCTTCCCGCCGAGCAGGGAGCCTGATGGGGGGTTTTTTCCCAGGACCCTGGGATCATGACCTGAGCCGAAGGCAGATGCTTAACGACTGAGCCACCCAAGCACCCCAAAATGGGGTGTATTTTTAAATAGTAGCAAGGAGTATGAAGACAACTGCTCTTTGGTAATAAATCCCTTTACCACATACTGTCTATACTTTCTAATGCACACCAAATACCCCAAATAACAAGGCATGTTTTTCCTGCAGAAGAATAAAATATGGAATCTATGATATTGAGATAACTTTCAGAATGGCAGCTTCACTGGAGATGTGACAGGACAGAGGCTGGGCCAGGCTAGGGATAGGGAAAGTTCTAATTCCAGTGTGAAGCAAAGGAAGCCCCAGCATACCCGTCCTGCAAACACTGAATGTGTATAAACAGTGTTGTTCTTTGTGCCTACAATCTGTCTGAAAGCCTCCACTTGTCTCAAAGAAGTGCATGTTTGAGATTCCTTTCCAATAGCCCTATTATCCTACTCAGTTTCAATTACATTGCTTTGGCTAAAGGTTTTTTTAAGACATCTCCATACCACCTTACCAAGAGATACTTGAGGGCTTAGAATTCAAGATAATTCATTTTTATTGTACAGAGATAAACCTCCTCATATAAATCCACATCCCTTTCTTTAAACATCAGAAATTCAAAGGGGTAAAAATACTTCCAAGGGCATTTGAAACAAAAAGCCTGCAGGAAGCCAAAAATCAGGCTAACACTTTCTACTTGGTGGTTCTTAATCTTCTATATGACATAAAGCTCTTTAAGAATCTGATTAAGACCATATACTATCTCACCCTGAAAAATGAGCACACACACAATTTTGTGTGCACTTTCAGATTTTGCTACTCAAAGGAAGCAAGGGGCACTATGCTGCTGAAGACCGCTAGAACATTCCTGACTTATTCATCTATACAGCTCAGTGCAATCCTCTCTTAATGACTTAAATACCTCATCTTTCTGAAATTATTCTGAATTATGTGTCAGAATATGGTTAACAGAAAGATCAAACTAACCAAAGGTTCTGAACACATCCAGTTTCACTTTGTTTCCTGTCTGGAGAAGTTCGAAATGCTCTAAAATCCCTTCTTTTCCTTATCATAACTTGTGCATGAAAGAGTGAGAAGGAGAGAGAGAGGGAATATGTGATTATCACCTTTCCAAACTCCCAAAGTTAGCTATTTCTTAACCCAAGCAATATGCTTCAGAGAGTACATGCTTCTGCAGGTGAGACCAATGTTGACAAGGATGGCATGACCTCAGTAAAGTACGATAACACAAGCCTCAGGTGGCTGGAGCTGGCAGAACTCCTTGACGATGTAACCTGTATTAATTAACTGATCTGCAACCTATACTAAATGATCACAGTGAAAAGAGACTCTTGAGTTCTTTGAGGCATGTGTTGGTTCTTTGAGACATGAAAGGCTATCCATAGTCTATTTGCAGGGGAACAATTTAGACATGTCATCATGGGTAGCACAGTGGAGACCTAAATGAAAAAATTACATTCCTTCCAACTATTTGTGAAGCAGATGAAATATGTTAACAGTTTGGCCACATGAGTACATGAGCACTGAAGTGAGAGAAAGATTTTGGTTCCAAGTGAAGCAAGAAATAAAAAGCTCTATAAGAATATCTGATAAAGTGTTTAAGATCATAAAAAGACCCAGAACAAAAAAATTTAAATAACATCTCTTCTCTAGGGCCATATAGTGGTTGCTGTACCCAACACATCTTAAAATCAGTATGAAGCCAGGATCAGTTAAAAATCAGGGTAATTTTTTTAAAATTTTATTTTATTATCTTATGTTAGTCACCATACATCACATCATTAGTTTTTGATGTAGTGTTTCCATGATTCATTCTTTGTGTGTAACACCCAGTGCTCCATTCAATAAATGCCCTCCTTAATAACCATCACCAGGCTAACCCATCCCCCCACCACCCTCCCCTCTAAAACCCTCAGCTTGTTTCTCAGAGTCTATAGTCTCTCATGGTTTGTCTCCCCCTCCAACATCCCCCCTTCATTTTCCCCTTCCTACTATCTTTTTTTTTTTTAACATATGTATTATTTCTTTCAGAGGCACAGGTCTGTGATTCATCAATCTTACACAATTCACAGTGCTCACCATAGCATGTACCCTCCCCAGTGTCTATCACCCAGCCAGCCCATCCCTCCTACCCACCCCCCACCACTCCAGCAACCCTCAGTTTGTTTCTTGAGATTAAGAATTCCTCATAAATCATATGATACTTGTCTCTCTCTGACTGACTTATTTCGCTTGGCATAATACTCTCTAGTTCCATCCATGTGGTTGCAAATGGCGAGGTTTCGTGTGTTTTTTTTTTTTTTTTGATGGCTGCATAATATTCCATTGTATGTGTGTATGTATATAATATCACATCTTCTTTATCCATTCATCTGTTGATGGACATCTTGGCTCTTTCCACAGTTTGGCTATTGTGGACATTGCTGCTATAAACATCGGGGTGCACGTACCCCTTCAGATCACCACATTTGTATCTTTGGGGTAAATACCCAGTAGTGCAATTGCCAGGTCGTACGTTAGCTCTATTTTCAACTTTTTGAGGAACCTCCAAACTGTTTTCCAGAGTGGCTGCACCAGCTTGAACTCCCACCAACAGTGTAGGAGGGTTCCCCTTTCTCCGCATCCTCGCCAACATCTGTCATTTCCTGACTTAATTTTAGCCATTCTGACTGGTGTGAGGTGGTATCTCACTGAGGTTTTGAAAAATCAGGGTATTTTTAAATTAAAGGAAAATAGGAATAAAATATAAAACATATCTTTTAACAGAGAAATATGTATATAATATAGATTTTATAGGTGTTTATGAATGCTTATTTTGGGTAACAGAAAAGTACTAAAAGTCAACTGGAAATCAATATGTAATCATCCTTAAAAGATGAAATACTTTTTTGAATGGAAGCCACACAGGACCCTAAATACTATTGGTATTAATTGGAAAACTGAAGTGTCAGGTCTAAGAGGTGAAAAGGTACAAGAAGAATTCTGAATAGTTGGGGCGCTGGGTGGCTCTGTTGGTTGAGTGGCTGACTCTCGATTTCGGCTGAGGTCATGATCTCAAGGTTGTGAGATCGAGCCCTGCATGGGGCTGGGCGCTCAGCGGGGAGTCTTTTGGAGATTCTCTCC